AACTTCCCGGATGGGTACCACGTCTTAATACACATAAACACTTTTTTTTTTATAAGAACCAGTAAAATTTTGCCCAGGCTCAGTGTTCTTATTTTTTGGCCGATTTCAGGCTTAAAATGTTCTTAATTTGTTCTTATCTTACAACACTTTAAAACATAGGAAATTATTATTGTACAGCAAAAATGGGCCCTGAAAAAAATGCCCTGGAAAAATTGCCCCAGAAAAAAGGCCTGGTAAAAATGGCCCCAAATGACAGTAGGCTACACCTAATTATAGGGGTATTACATAGTCACACCTACATTACTGCACATAATGTACAGGTATAATTTTTTGTTTTTTCAAAAAACTCATTTGACATTTTACCTCAGCCTCAATTTGTTCTTATTTTGTTCTTAATTTTTAAGAAATTTCAGCCTCAGTGTTCTTATAAAATTTGTTCTTATAAAAAAAAGTGTAACGAGTTAAACCATGGAGGAAATACAGTATATTAATATTATTTCCTCCATGGTTAAACAGAGATCTTGGCATACTTAGCGGATACACATTTATTGATCAGAGCTCCATTAAGAACTGTCTCAAATTTTGATTTTTATTGATGAGCCGATGATATCTCACCCTATATTATGATGCGGCTTTCTATATTCTATTGTTTTATCCTAATATTAATGTCGCTTGCCTTTGTTCATTTACTGCATTGTAATTGTATGATCACAGATTGTATCTATATCACGGCTTTCTATTGTTTCTATTATATTTATATATCATAATGCCAGTGCCTATCGTCACTACACGTTGAGAAATGTCGGGGGTCGGGAAGGTCGTATGACCCCCCCCCCACCACCCTCCAAAAAAAAAAATTTCAAAAGTGCACATTGTTTTCAAAGACATTTTTTTCTAGGGCCTCCTTACAATGATAAATGAAAAAGCATTGATGAGGTACCAGCAATGAGTCAAAAGACCTTGCCAGTTGCGTGACGTAATCTATCTCAAAAACCGAAAGGTCCACTGATTAATCTCAGATAAGATATGATAGAAAATAAAACTCAGGATATTCAGTACTTTTATGACAGGTGAATGTGAAGTTAACATAAAGACAGATACTCCAAGTAACGAAATGCACGCCATCGTGTCGGGATTCAATATTTCGACATTAATTATGTTATCATCAGGAATCTATCTAAATTCCAGCAATTCTGAAACTGGAGCCTGCCATCCGCTTCAAGCTGGTGGAGCTGTAATCGATTTTTCTGTCTCCCACTGAAAAGGTCTAAAAACGTATGATCACGACCCACCCAGAAAAAATCCTGGATACATCCCTGAATGTATATTTAAGTATTTTTTAAATACTTAGATCTGTCTTCTGTGAGGATACTGAAATTGTCTCTAGCAATTTTCGCCACTTTCTTACTAATTGGATGATAGGTTAGTACCAATGGGATACGTTCAATATTGTTGGCGTTGTGATTCGGCTGTAGAGTGTCTTTCTGCGTGAGTTGATGGACCTTTTCAAGAGACCTGTCAGTTATGTTTAAAGGATAACCACGAGCATTGAAGAATTGTCTCATTTCTGTAGCTTTATTCTTGAAGTCATCGTCATCGCTGCAGATACGTCTGAGTCTAACCAGTTGCGAATAGGGTATAGCATTCTTACAAGTCGGAAGATGTGAAGAACTGTAGTTGAGATATGTGTGGGCATCGGTGTGATTGTAATAGATTGATGTAGAAAGTCCAGGTCTATCGATGGATAATATGATATCGAGGAATGGCACACATTTGTCGGATATTTCATGAGTGAATTTTATCGCTGGATGGAAGCCGTTGGCGTAGGTTATAAAATCATTCAATTCAGTTAATGAGCCAGATGTAATGCCAATACAGTCGTCAATATACCTCTTGAAAATATCAGGATTTTACCTCAACCTCAATTTGTTCTTATTTTGTTCTTACTTTTCGAGCAATTTCAGCCTAAGTGTTCTTACAAAATGTGTTCTTATAAAAAAAATTGTATAGGCCTATATATATATATATATATATATATATATATATATATATATATATCGGCCTATATAAATAGGCATATATATGTATATATACATATGATTATATGTATATATATATATTAATTAATTTGATTTTAATCCCGTTTATGAGGCTAATGATGTAAATACTTCTTGGACTAATTTTGTTAATGTTTATAGCGTTTTAGATGCAAATAGGCCTATTCCTAAGATTAAAGTAAGAGATACTTCTGCTCCTGGGTGGATTGATGCGCAGGTTTAATCACGAGAAAAAAAAATTCCTGAGCACCCAGTCGTATGTGGCAGGGCAAATGTGTTTCCAGTTCCTTGCGCCAGGGTGGTGATGGATGGTGACCCCGAAGAGTATTTGCATCTTATTTTGCTTATCTTTCCATTTATGTCAGTTCTGTCATAAAATAAATATACATAAAAATAAATAAATAAATAAATAAAATAAAATAAATTAATTAATTCAAAATAATAATGCGGAAAAAAAGGGGCTACATGTACACTCTGTAGGTGGAAAACGGCGCCGCGAGCAGCTCTACCAACAGATGGATACGTGCACCTAATATAAGATGACATTATTATTATTATTATTATTATTATTATTATTATTATTATTATTATTATTATTATTATTATTTAAATCTGCTTGGAAACGAGCTAAAAAGCCCAACTCTACTGAGCACTGGTCTATTTTTCGAAAACTGCGCAATCCCTATAATAATAATAATAATAATAATTGTCGCCTTATAGGCCTATAGCGCATATTACCCTGGTCATTGGATCAAGCACATGAAACACCGTACTCGGGTCCCTTGGGATAATTCCATAATGGACACAAGCGACTTACAGCTTCGAACCCCAGACCTCAAGGCTGGGAGTCCTAGCCACAACCGATGCGCATCTATAAAAAGGCCTATTGGCCTGTAAGTATAAACAGTACATTATAACAGTACAATAATCCTAAAAGGATGGTCATTAACAAAATCGATTTTAGAGCAGTGGCGTAACGCCTATGCGCTCTCATGCGGCGGTCCGCATTGTCATGTTATAAATTATTTACTGATGCAAAAGCACACAGAATTCAGTTGTGAGTTTAAACAATGTTAAATATTCATACATATACTCTACTATAAGATAAATTTAGAGAATAAGAATACTAAGCTGTATACGACAAATACAACAGCCTTACAAATTAAAAGTTGTATACAAAATTCCGAACATCGTAATGCAGTTTCAATAGTAAGAAACTTGGATGGCGCGACCGAGGTAGGGGAGGGGAGGCCCCCTTTCGTGGATAGCTTCCCACCTCCCGGTCGGGGAGAGAAGCCATAATTCGTCGGGGAAAAAAATTATATGTATTTTGTACATATTAGTAGACTCTGAAATCTATTAAATAAGCATTTGAAACCTATAACAGGCCCGTAGCCAGGGGGATGTTTTATGGTTCGGGCGAACCCCCCTTTTCTAGCGAACCCCCCCGAATTTTTGAATGAGTCCCACTCGGACGGAATGTCTGTTTTTAACTTACCTAGCATTAAATCAAAATTTAGCACCTAATTCATTATTTGGTCACCCGTTTTTAAATTGTAGCCTGCGATACAAGCTTACATTCATAGAATATCTCAGCTTCAGAAGTTTGGAGATTTAAATTGAACGCAACTCCAGCAAACCATGACTTTACGATGGCACGCATAAGAATGCAAACATCGATAAAAACCCGGCTGCCGTCTCAACCCCTTTGGCTGAATGTTTGTAAGAAATGTACCAACCGTAGAGTAAATGATGCCACCAAACGAAGCTTAAGTTTTGCGACTTCCACCAAATGCAGATAAAGTTTTACGACTTAATCACCACCTGATTGTAGATTGTGTGGTTAGTAAATTCCATAACCATACCGTCCATAGCGCACACTAAACCATGTGCTGTTGGAGCATTTTGGAGAAAATTGACTATCCTTTTTTCCATCCCAAACAAAATATAATTAATAAATCAACATGGTCCATCTCAGTCATCATAGCCAGTCACAAAATTAGGCTAGGAAGTTTGTTTTCAACAGCAGACACACACTACAGAACGAAGTGCGTCAAAACGAGTGTTTGTTAATTTTTAGTGATAAAGAATCATGAAACGTCCTAGAATTTCTCGTCCCTGTTGCAAAGAAGAAAAAAACATAGGCTAGTCCTTTAAGATGGGTTATTGATTTTAAAATCAATTAGCCTAGCCTAGATGTTGACTAGCTAGGTTCACCCCTCGTTCATTTAGAGACAGAATTATACCCCGACGACAACAAACTAGTAGTGTAGGCCTAAGTACAGTATAGCCTGGTTGTAAAACTGCTGAAATGAATTTTAGCGGGAAAAAAGTAAAGGAAAATTAATTTTTGGTTTTTCTGAATCAACATACCCTATAGTGTCACAGAAAAAAAATCCCCATGCCTAGGGCTTGGGCAATTTTTTTTACAGCACTTTGAAATTTTGGCCTAAAATAACCTATTTTAAACTATTTAAAATGGGGGTAGGGGAAATAACTTTATGTTTTTTTTATACATAAAATTGATGAACTACTACAAAGTTAACCCAATGAAAAATCGAAATAGTGAAATTTTGCTTTAAAATACCAATTTTT